TATTATTATTATTATTATTATTATTATTATTATTATTGAGACTATGAACCGATCAATGTTAGACTACCATTGAAAATCTGGAAGCACTAAACTACCGTTCCGTCCTAGCATAGGACTCCTCGGCAGTGTTCATTCTCCATTCCACGCCCGAGATTCGAACTTAAGACGTTCAATGCTTCCAGACTTTCAATGGTGGTCTAACAATCATCGGTTCATAATCATTTTGAAGATAATTCTACTGACCTCAATGTGAATATAATATGTTGGATTATAATGACACCATTGTTTCAATTGTTATATCCCGATGTGTAGAGAAATTGTATTTCTGACGTTTCGCAACATAATGTAGGACATTTGTTCAAAGTAAATAAATAACCGAGATAAGGTTAACACAAGTTTAAATAGTACGTCTGAAATACAGACTTTTCACTTATTGGAATATAACAAAAATATACTTATTATTAACTTTCTACCTATTTATTTATTTATTTTAACATATAGATGTTGGTACAAGGAGGCACCAAATAGATATGCGCCATATAAATCATTTGGTTTGTGTGAGGGCTACGATACTGCCCGGGTGCCCAAACCAAAGCCGGTGATTTTCTTAGGGGAACACACTCCAAGCCTTAGGCCCAAGGGTTTGATCCACAAGGCAGTAGAGCAACGTCAGGAAATGCAGTCCCATGATAACCGGTGACCAACGATTGGTTGATACGTCATTTGTTCCCTCTGGATTCTGGAGTCCATGTACACCACTAGCTTGAAATTAGGGTTTTCCAACTCCTCTGGGTGGACTCTCCGTGTCCAATAATCCAGTTAAAGCGTCGAACATTCGCTTTTCGTCCTCTTAATTTCGTAAACAACAGACCCGCCATGAGAAGTCAGAGAGTAGGACTTGCATGGCACTGGCTGTATACACGTAGCCATGTGGGAGCATTTTGATAGGGGGTCAGTCAGTCAGTCAGTAACAACGTAGAACTTCGTACGTACGTACATCAGTTCGAGTTGCCACACCACCTTAACACAGAGATGCAGTTGTCGATCCAAATCCCGTAGTGGTAGAGGTAGCAAGAGTGTAAGCAGTGATCGGGAAGATTAGGGTTTGGAGATGTTATTTAAAGAGTATAATTCAGTGAAATAAATTTGGAAAGAGGAAAAAAGGGACATGAAGAATTCAGAAGATTAGAATTTGGGAGAACACAAAGAGTGGATGCATCTGCGCCATTGCAAACGATTTTGAGCCATGTCATTCAGGGTCTCTAACCATCGGTTGCTATCATCTCGCGGTCCCCAACCAGGTAGTCTACACCTACTAACATGACTCAGACCACTTGTCAGTGACTTCATGGACTTGTGCCATGTTTTGGTCTGGCCGCCCATAGCTTTCTTCCAACCTATTCCTATACCACTGAACATCGCTCGTCGAGGCAGTCGGTCGTTGGGCATACGTAACACATGTCCCAGCCATCTCAACTGATGAAGTTTCACTACTTCATCAATTGATTTGCCATCCTTACCTAGTACCCGTTTCCTAACAACTGTGTTACTTACTCGATGGTCCCATGATATACGAGCAATGTTTCGAAGACACCTATGATCAAATACTAGTAACCTACGAATATCCTCTACTCTTACCGGCCATGTTTCACTGCCATAAAGTAGGACAGGACGAACTGCTGCGCAGTAAACCCGTCCTTTGGTTGATAGACGGATATCTCGCCTACGCCATAAATGACGCAAGTTGGCAAAAGCTAGTCGAGCCTTCTGTATCCGTGCTGAGATTTCGTCACACACCAGACCACAAGGGCTGATGAGACTTCCAAGATAAGTGAAGCGGTCGACACACTCAACTACTTCACTCCCTATCACTAGTTCGGGTGTCGATGTAGCACAATCCTGAAGCGAAATTTTGCATTTCGAGGGAGAGAATCGCATCTCGAACATGCTTGCATTGTTGCTTAGAGTGGTCAGAAGACTCTGCATGTTGTCAGCGTCTTCACCAAATAAAACTATGTCATTGGCATATTCTAAGTCAACAAGTGAACCTCCCGGTAGAAGTTCAACCCCTGGAAATTTAGATGAGGAGAGTGTTATCTCTAAAAGTACGTCGACCACAAAGTTGAACAAGAATGGGGAGAGTGGACAGCCCTGACGAACACCACTTGAGGTAATCAATTCTGATGACAGATCGCCATAAGCTCTCACTCTACCAGTTGTGTTCGAGTAGAGAGCCTGAATAAGGTTAATATTTTAGACACTATATTAGTCAAACTGATTCCTCTGTGATTGTCACAAGAGGACTTTTGTCCTTTCTTATAGCCTGGCACAATCAGTGATTGAGACCAGTCAGATGGGATTACGTTCAGTTCCTAAATTCTACCTAGGACCTCAGTTAATCTCACTGCTAATACTGAACCACTATCCTTAAAAATCTCAGGAGTGAACCTGTCAGGGCTTGCTGCTCTCCCTCGTTTCAGATTTCCTATTGCTTTTTCAACTTCGTAAAGGAACGGAGGACTTACATTAACTTGCCATTCAGGTTGACTGGAGATCGTGGGAAACCGAAGTGTGGCTGAAGGCCAGTTGAACTGATCTCTGAAGTATTCTGCCCATCGATCCAATCTCCTGGATTGAGAGTGTATAATATGTCCATCTTTCTCTGAGAGTGTTTCGCCAACAGTCGGTTTCCTAATACCGGTTTCCTTAACGGCCCCCGAACGCCCTGGTACGGCCGAGAGTGGGGAGAGTCCGCTCTCCCTCTCGAAATACTCTCACACGGCCGCGCGTATACAGCCTCTGCCAGGGAAGTCCTACTCATTGCCTTCTCGTGGCGGGGGTGTTGTTTACGAAAATGAGAGGACGAAAAGCGAACGTCCGGCGCTTTAACCGGATCACAAACCAATGGTGCACATGGGCTCCAGTATCCTGCGGGAACAAATGGCGTATGAACCAATCGTTGGTCACCGGCTACCATGGGATTGCATCTCCTCACGATGTTCCACTGCCTTGTGGGTTAGACCATTAGGTCAAAGGCTCGGGGTGTGGCCCCCTAAGATAACCACCTGCTTCGGTTTGGGCACCCGGGCAGTATCACAGCCCACACACAAACAATGAACTCTATGACTACGGCAACTAATTTCCTCTCTCCGATCAACATTCAATTGATTCAAATAATTATTACTGTTATTGTCATTATTAATACCATTATTATTATTACCATTATTGTCATTATTGTTATTATTATTATTATTATTATTATTATTATTATTATTATTATTATTATTATTATTATTATTATTATTATTATTTTCCACATTATTCACCCTCCTTTATACTTATACAGCGGCTCGTCTTTGGTGGAAATTCGACTGTATCTAAACGTTCTCGAGTCACTGTTCGGTTGAAAATTGTATGTTAACACCGAATACGAGAACTGAAGCAGTTTTTCTGAAACCACGTGCACCATTCAAACTGGCTGCCTTCAACGTTCGCACACTAATGCAGGTCGGACAACAGATAGGGCTGGCTATGTCTTTGGAAAGTCTCAATATTGATGTTTGTTGTCTATCCGAGACCCGTATTCAAGACTCTGGCGAAGTACTACAAATTCGATCTCCATCTGTCGCTTCGAAAAGCTTGTTTCACGTGCGCTTATCCGGGGACCCTGTGGCATCTTCGTCTGGTCTTGCTGGCGTTGGTGTCGCACTAAGCGCTAGAGCTGAGGCAGCACTAGTCGATTGGATCCCCATTAACAGTCGGCTATGTGCTGTTAGATTAGAAAGTTCCATCAAAGTGAGAAGAAATCGGCGTGAGAAACGATGTCTTTTCGTCATCTCCGCCTATGCCCCGACAGATTGCAGCCCGGATGCAATCAAGGATGAGTTTTACCACCAGCTGTCTGTTCTTCTCCAGAAAGTGCGTTCGACAGATATTGTAGTACTAGCCGGAGACTTGAATGCGCAGGTCGGGCGTCTAGGCACAGAAGAGAGTCGTTTAGGTGGCCGATGGGGACTCGTTGGTCGCAGGTCAGATAACGGGGACCGTCTACTGCAACTTTGCACAGACCACAACCTGTTTCTGGCTAGCACTAACTTTCGGCACAGTCATCGCCGATGTGCCACCTGGCGTCCTCCCTCTGCATCCCAAGCCTGGACTCAGATTGATCACATCGCGATCAGCTTCCGCTGGCGTGGTTGTGTAAAAGACTGCCGCTCCTTTTGGAGTACCTATCTGGACTTTGACCATGCCTTGGTCTGCGCCAATCTTGCCTTACTTTTCAGTGGACAACGAAGTGACCACCACCAAAGGATTGATATTAGCAAGCTGGTTGCAACCTCTGTTGCAAATAAGTATCGAACCGAGCTAGCTTCTAGGCTAGCTACCACTCCACCGAAAAGTATAGATGAGCATTGGTTGCAATTGCATGACGCCATGAAAATGGCGGGAACAGTCAGTTGTGGGTTTGCGAAACGTCCCGCTTATAAGCACTGGGTTTCTTCTGGTTCCTTACAACTTATTGAAGCCCGTCGGTCGACTCCGGGTGACCGTGAGTTTGACCATAAACGAAGGATGTTACGTAGGGAAATTGGGCAAAGCTTGCGTAAGGACCGAGAAGCCTGGTGGTCGGAGCGTGCTAATGAGATGGAAGCAGCAGCTGCATCTGGTAACTACCGGAAGCTCTTCCAGCTCATCCGAGCCACTGGCAGCAAGAAGTCTGGTGTGAGTGAAACAATCTGCGAGGATGATGGGATGCCAATCACTAACATCCATCGACGTCTTGGACGATGGGCAGAATTTTTCGAAGGGCAGTTCAACTGGCCTGCTGCTCCGGCAACATCGGTCAGACTGTCCTGCCCTCCATGGCCGGTGACGACTGATCCACCGAGCGAGGAGGAAGTCCGCAAGGAACTCCAACTCTTGAAGCGTTACAAATCACCTGGCCCAGATGACTTACCTCCGGCTCTTTTTAAAGATGGTGGTGACTTTTTGACTAAGGAATTGACGACGTTGTTTACAAAGGTTTGGGAATTAGAGAGTGTACCAACGTCATGGAATGAGTCGATAGTTGTCCCTATCTTTAAAAAGGGTTCACGTCGTTCCTGCAACAACTATCGGGGGATAAGTCTACTTCCGATCGCGTCCAAGCTATTGGCTTCCGTCATACTTCGTAGGTTGTTCAAAACCCGAGAAAGATTGACTCGCGAGGAGCAGGCTGGGTTTCGTTCTGGTCGAGGTTGTATTGATCATATCTTCACCCTCCGCCAAATGTTAGAACATCGCCATACTTATCAAAGGCCAACAATCGTAGTGTTTCTTGACATCAGGGCTGCCTTCGATTCGTTGGACAGGACTGTTCTCTGGGATTGTCTATTGAAGAAGGGTGTGCCTGAGAAGTTTATTAACATCCTAAAAGCCCTATATAAAAACACCTCAGGCAGAGTGAGGGCATACAACCACCTCTCTCCATTGTTCTATACGAGTAGTGGGGTTAGGCAGGGTTGCCCAATCTCACCATTCCTCTTCAACTTTGCCATCGATGACATTCTGGAAACAGCTCTGATGAATGTAGGTAATGGTGGTGTGGATCTGTTGCCTGGAGAAAGACTTCTCGACCTTGAGTATGCGGACGATATTGTCTTACTGTGCGATAATGCCCAAGGCATGCAATCCGCACTTAATCAGTTGGCAATCAGTGTCCGTAGGTATGGTATGTGTTTTGCACCTTCGAAGTGCAAAGTACTTCTACAAGACTGGCAGGATTCCAATCCTGTACTCACCCTGGATGGTGAGCAGATAGAAGTAGTCGAAAAGTTCGTGTATCTGGGTAGCTGCATAAGTGCTGGTGGGGGTGTGAGTGATGAGATCAATGCACGTATAGTGAAAGCCAGAGCGGCTTATGCCAATCTGGGCCACCTTTGGCGCCTTCGTGATGTAAGTCTGGCTGTAAAAGGTCGGATCTACAACGCGTCGGTGAGAGCAGTTTTGCTCTATGCTTGTGAAACCTGGCCTCTCCGAGTTGAGGACGTTAGACGACTCTCTGTGTTCGATCATCGCTGTCTCCGAAGGATTGCTGACATTCAGTGGCAACACCATGTTAGTAATGCAGAGGTTCGGCATCGTGTGTTTGGGCACAGAGATGATAATTCAATTGGTGTCACCATCTTGAAACACCGACTTCGGTGGCTTGGACATGTTCTACGAATGTCGTCCCAGAGAATTCCACGTCGTGCATTGTTTGCCGACTCTGGGACTGGTTGGAAAAAGCGGAGAGGTGGTCAGTGCATGACATGGTGTCGTGGTATGAAAGAAAGCTGCAAAGGACTGGCTTCTGTCGGTCCTTCACGACTCCCTGGTTGGGGTCTGAGAGATGGTGCTACACAGTGGCTAGAGACGTTATCAGATATGGCTCAGAATAGAAGCCAGTGGCGATCCTGCTGTAACCTTCTTTTACTTTCTTCATAAAAAGTGGTTGTGTCTCCCTTACTTGAAAGATTTCTTCCGATTGTACCTTTCCGTTCCATCGTTACGACCGCACTACCTTTCACCAATCTCTTTGTTATCGTTCTCTTTTTCTTTTGTGCTCCTTAGTTTTTTTTCTTTTCTCTCTTCGAATTTTCATTGTTTTGTGTGGCGCATATATATTGGCGCTCTCTTGTACCAATATTTATGTGCTCAAATAAATAAATAAATAATAATTCCTTAACGAGTCTGAACAATTGTTTGATATTACCTATTGCCGCTGCCTTTTCCATCTCTCTTGCTTTCGCTACCCACCACTGTTCACGATCATTGTGTAGACTTCTTGTCAGCTTGCCCTTAAGCTGACTCCGCTCTTCATTATGTTCAGAGCCACGTGGAATGAGTTTCCGAGCATCTATCAGTGCGATAGATGCTGCTGAGATCCAGTGTCGCTCCCTAACCTTCTGGTTTACCTTACCAGCAGATATCACTGCTGTTTCCACAGCTATTCGGATATCATTCCTTGCTGCCTCGGGGTGGGCATTACATACATGGCTGCCTAACTGTTTTCCTAGTTGTTCCTGAAATATACTCTTAGCTTGACTATCATTAAGTAGGCCCCTAAGAGGTTTCCTTGCAGCGTCTTTCCTACGTCCAGTAAGACGCAAGCGAATACGCGCTCGTTCTAGAGCACGATCTGAATCTAAGCGTGTGCTCCAGAATGAGCGACAGTCTTCTATCAAGCCCCTCCATCGGTGGCTGATAGCGATGTGATCTATTTGGGTCCAACGCTGGGACGAATTAGGGGGTCGCCATGTTAAAAGATGTTTTTCCTTATGCTTAGTATTTGCAAGGAACAGGCAGTTATCTGAGCATAGCTGCAACAGAAGGTCGCCATTATCTGTTCTTTGAGCCGTGATGCTATAAGATCCACCTAGGTGTCTTTCCCTATCGCTTAGTTTACCTACTTGAGCATTAAAGTCACCAGCCACTATTACTACATCCGAGCGCCTAGCTTTTCGGAGAAGGTCGGAGTGCTTTCTGTAAAACTCATCTTTTACATCATCTGAGCTGCAGTCAGTGGGAGAATAAGCAGAAACGACGAAGAGGCAACGACGGGTGTCCCTATCTTTCCGGATTCTTATTGTTCCGTTCAGTCGGACAGCGCACAAACGGCTGTCTACTGGGATCCACTCTAGGAGAGCTAGTTCTGCTCTGGGACTCAATGCTATACCTACGCCGGCGAGGCCACGGGAAGCAGAATCAGGGCTTCCAGATACACGAAGCGTAAATCGAGTCAGTTCTTTATTTTGGCATGGTGAGGTCAAATGAATGACGCTACTTGGATCTTGTATGTGCGTTTCGGAGACGCAGCACACATCTAAAGTCCTAGCTAAGGAAGCCTGCTGGCACAGTGTTCGGACGTTAAAAGCTTCTACGTGTAGTTTAGAGCGTGGTTTCAGGAGACCAGGAATAGCGTTCCACGTCCTCGAATCGTTTGTCCTAGCGGTGCGAGGTGATAAAGAGACGTGAGGAGGGTTAGTCATGGAGATAAGAGAGGTATTAGGAGGTGTAGGAAGGATTTGAATGTGACCAACTTAGTCTCGTGTGCTGTTACGGGTATGAGGGCTGATATCAATTCCCGGCTGCCCACACCGTGGAAGGGTATTTCTTGAGGAACCTGAAAATGAAATTGGATTAGTGTGATCGCAGAGCCTAAGGGACAACTGCTTGAGGCCGGTCGCGCACGGCCTTTTTGTGGAAGGTTTTTGACGTGTTGTCTCCGTTCTTCAAAGGGCCTTACCGCCGGAGACGGAAATCCGTGAGGTAAGGTGAGGTGTGACATTTTTAGGGTCGACCTTTTCTAACCCCACCCCTCCTTGTGGGAAGGCAGCATCGCTGTCATGCTGATTGTCCGAAGGAAACACCTTACTGCTGTCACACCTCTGTACAGTCAGCAGTACGACTTCGCCCTCAGACTTTGAGTTGCTGCTTTTAGTCTTACCGTTCTCCAATCGACCTGCCTGGCATGGTAGAACCTACAGGAACATATGTTCTAATCTTCTGAATTCTTCATGTCCCTTTTTTCCTATTTCCAAATTTATTTCACTGAATTATACTCTTTAAATAACATCTCCAAACCCTAATCTTCCTGATCACTGCTTACACTCTTGCTACCTCTACCACTACGGGATTTGGATCGACAACTGCATCCTTGTGTTAAGGTGGTGTGGCAACTCGAACTGATGTACGTACGTACGAAGTTCTACATTCTTACTGACTGACTGACTATGTTTCAGTCAATATAGCTCGGTTGGGTCATCACGATAGACAAGCTCGACCACCGCGTCAAGGTAGCAGCTTCGGTTGGGATTTTGATAGGGGGAGCTGACTTCCTCCACCCTCGGCTGTATCAGGGCATTACTTTCTACCTGATGCTTAATTTATTTGAAACTATCAACTTAAACTTTGGTATTGATACCTATTGAACATAATTGTTTCAGTCTAGCTCAGGACTATAGTAAATAGTTGAAATGGCATGATCTATGTAATAAAGAGGATTTATTCGGTTTGAATTGTTATCACACATCCTTTTCTATTAAAAAAAATACTATTGTATAATTGTATCAACATTAAATCATTCTACTATTTTCTTCTTCTTGTTTTTTTTCTCTCTATATAAAAAGGCTATTCCAAGTTTGTCTATATTTTCCCAACAAATATTAAATGATCTATTAAGACCAATACATAGATTTTATGTAAATCAACCCGATTTAAATAATTTACTTGTAACAGAATATAATTTAATACCTAAATCTGGTCTACCATGTGATTATGAATTAGTAACAATGAAAACATTTCATAATATAAAGATACCAATAAGTAAGTTATGAAATTTTGTGTTTATATTTCTGTGGGTGTTGTATACTGTGTTTATATTGAAAGTGAATTGTAATTTATTTAGTAAGTATTCATTAATGTTGGAAGTAGATTAGATAAAATCTTACTTATTTACTTACGCCTCTTACTACTCCCAATGGAACATAGGCCTCTGATCAGCATTCTCCAACCCACTGCCTTCCTTTCTAGTTCTATTCAATTTTTGTTCATTTCTCTCATGTCTGTCTCCATTTCTCGGCGTAATGTGTTCTTTGGTCTTCCTCTTCTCCTTTGGCCTTGAGGATTCCATGTGAGGGCTTGTCTTGTGACGCAGTTGGGTGCTTTCCTCAATGTGTGTCTTATCCACTTCCAGTGCCTCTTCCCGATTTATTCCTCCTTTGGAATCTGGTTTGTTCTCTCTCATAGTAAGTTATTACCGACAGTGTCTGACCAATGGATCCGAAGTATTTTGCGTAGACAACTGTTAATAGACACCTGTATCTTCCGAACGATAGCTTCCGTAGTCCTCCAAGTTTCTACCCCATACAGTAGAACTGTCTTGACATTTGTATTGACAATCCTGACCTTGGCGTTGGTTGACAATTATTTTGAGTTCCAGATGAGATAAAATCTAGAGGCGATGAAATAAAAATGGTGGTATTATTTGATAAAATCATTGACTATTGGATTCAGTTGTAATAGTGGTTATTGTTACTCCTAATTAATGATTGAAAATGTTGAGTGGTCTGATTTAGAATTGAATGTGTATTTACTTTCCATTCTATATTACTCACACATTATATTTCGTGAATTCATTTATTCTTCTAAAATTCATATTGTGTATGCCTAATGTTCTTTCTACTATTGATAATATTGCTAATTTCCCATACTCTAACATTTGTCTTAATAATTTCATCTTTCTGTGTTGATGATATAACGTAGTAACTTTAACTAATTTCGATAGTATCTACGAGGTTCTGTGTTGCTTATTACTGAGTATTCGTTCATTCCTTCTACATTTCATCAAACTGATAAAAGTGTTATAGTGTTCCACTGTCGATCATTCAATCGATCTACTCAGGAAAAAAAACAAGTAAGGACGAATGTGATCGCATGAGGGCTACTGGTACTTTTGTTCCTGATAATATCCAAATATAATTTATAACAGAAATTATTCATTATTTATTCTGTTGAACATTCTACTTTGTGAGTAATTGCTTAGGTTATGTAGGTAGGTAGATTAATTTTTCCCATATGCACCTACCTAGAACACGTTTCATCAAGTTTCTTGATTGAAAACCAAAATGTAGTTATTGCAACTTAGTTCCGAGCGATTTCCAACTATTCGATTAATTTTAATGAATTCACATAGATTACATTGCGGATTGATTTTGGTTAGGTAGTCATTGGGAGCTAGGAAACACAGTCAGTCAGTCAGCTACAACGTAGGATAAGGCACATATGTGCATCAGTCCAGGTTGCCATACCTCATTAACACAACAAGATGGACATCGGATTCATAAAAGCAGTTAATTCAGAGGTGGTAATATATAGGAGAAAGATTGCAATAAGGTTATAGTACAGGAAGAAAGAATTAGTCCGTAGAAAGAAAGATATGAAGCGATTTTAATCTCTTAGTTTAAGGGAAGACAGAGAGTGTGTACACCGACGCCATTGTGATCGATTCTGAGCCATGTCAACAAGAGTTTCCAACTATTGGTTACGAAAGTCACGCGGACCCCAACCAAGTAGTCTGCATCTACCAACATGGCTCAGACCAGAAGTTAGTGACTTCAAGCACTGATGCCACGTTTTGGTTTGGCCGCCGCAAAAGGAAATACAATTGTTTTTTCCTAGTATAGGATTACTCAGCAGTGTCCATTTATAATCTCACTGCTGCTCGGTCTCATGTGAGAACACTCAGCCTCTAGATTACTGAACTGGTATCCGAGTGCACTAATCGAAGCAGGTGATTTTTTTTATGAGGACTCACTCCTAGACTCTTTGGTTCGGAGGTCCATCCACAAGGCAGTAGAGCGACGTTAGGAGATGGCAGCCATGGACCAACTATAGGTTCATACGTGACTTATTCCTTCAGAATCCTGGAGTTCACACGTACTATTGGTTTGGAACCAAAGTTCTCCAGCTCCTTTATGTAGATTCTCCGAGAGGACCAACCTGGTCCTCGTCATTTCGTAAACAGCACCCTTGACATTAGAAGGCGATGAGTGGAACTTGCTTAGCAG